ACTTCTACTTACACTTAGGTCACACTACACATACATGTACAAGCATATATATACACACACACCCCTCTGGGTTTTCTGCTATTTTCTTTCTAGTTCTTGTTCTTGTTTATTTCCTCTTATCTCCATGAGGAAGTGGAACAGAATTTTTCCTCCGTAAGCCATGCGTGTTAACATAAGAACATAAGAAAGGAGGAACACTGCAGCAGGCCTGTTGGCCCATACTAGGCAGGTCCTTTACAATTCATCCCACTAACAAAACATTTGCCCAACCCAATTTTCAATGCTACCCAAGAAATAAGCTCTGATGTGCAAGTCCCACTCAAATCCAACCCCTCTCACTCATGTATTTATCCAACCTAAATTTGAAACTACCCAAAGTCGTAGCCTCAATAACCCAACTAGGTAGACTGTTCCGTTCATCAACTACCCTATTTCCAAACCAATACTTTCCTATGTCCTTTCTAAATTTAAACTTATCTAATTTAAATCCATTACTGCGGGTTCTCTCTTGGAGAGATATCCTCAAGACATTAATATCCCCTTTATTAATACCTATCTTCCACTTATACACTTCGATCATGTCTCCCCTCAAGAGGCGACTAAAATGCCAGGAGCAAGGGGCTAGTAACCCCTTCTGTATAAATTACTAAATTTAAAAAGAGAAACTTTGGTTTTTCTTTTTGGGCCACCCTGCCTCAGTGGGATACGGCCGGTTTGTTGAAAGAAGAAGAAATATAGTTTTGGGGAGAGAGAGAAATAAGTCAGAAAACAAAGAAAGCAAATGGATTTATCAATTACGAGTGAGAGTAGTGATACGATGGATAAAGAAGTAGAAGTATTAAAGAGAGAGAGAACCTCTTACAAATTGTTAATGTAAATAATTACAAAGCAGCATAGATTTTATGCACAGAGCAGGGAAGAAAAAGATTTGTTAGGAAGGAAGAGTAGGAAGCGAGTATGGAGGAAATAAAGTAGCTGAGGCAACAAGCAAGCAGCAGGGATGGATGGAATTAAGGCAGACATTCTGAAGCCTGGTGAGGATAAAGTTTTGAACTAGTGACTTTTTTTTATTGTATGATAGAAGAAGTACCAAATAATTGGCACAAAGCAAGCATAGTTCTTATGTGTAAGAAAAAAGGCATCAAGAGGAAGTGTAAGAATTATAGAGGAATAAGTTTGTTGAGTATAATGGGTAATGTATGGTATGAGTGTTATTGAAAGGGTTAGGGGATAGACAACCAAGAATTATGGAACAACAAAGTGGATTTATAAAGACATGGGGATATGTGCACCAAGTGTTTGCACTGAAGCATATTAATGTGCAATATACTTTAGATAATGGAATGAAACTTTAGTACTGTATATGTTGCATTTATGCAACATATACAGTGATAGGGAGTGTGTAGGTGGAAAGGATGGTAAAGAGTAAGTACACAAAAAAAGGAAGTTGAAAGTGAACACAAAAAGAAGTAATTAGAGCAAGACAAAATCTAGAACAAGATGAAATCTTGAACATCAGATCAGAAGGAAGTAGTATGGAGAAGTAATTGTATTTAGGTATCTGAAAGTAGATCTGTAGAAAGATGGATCTATGGAAGACAAGGTAAGTCACAGAATTGATGAGGGAATTTGCATGGCAGAAATGTTAAGGAATCTATGGAAAGAGGTTTGTAAATGGATGCAAAAAATGTGTCAGAGTACAGTGGGGCCCCGCTTTATGGCTTTTCGCCTTACAGCATTTCGCTAATACGGCGATTTCAAATTATGCTATACGGCAAGGGTCTTTCAAATACAGTGCGCCACACCTGGTTTGTTTACATTCTCCATGAGCACATCTATTATGTCTGGAAACTTTCCACAATTTCAAGTGTTTTAAAGTTATTGCATATTTTGTGTACATACTCTGATAATTATGCTTATGTGTACCTGTACCTAAATATACTTATATACTATGATGGCATGCAGGTACACATTAAAATCACTAAGAGCCTTTCTACTCATGATGCCATAGTAATACTCTCTCTTGAGCACATTAAATGTCTTATTTTACGTTAATATTGACATTTTCATTAATCCATCTACAATATTTTCTTCAAAATTATATAAGAAACACATTACATAGCATATAAACATTATACATATACCCAGAGAATAAAAATTGAACATAAATATGAGATTTGTTTACAAAGCAGCTTTGTAGGAGTGTCGGAAAATTACGTTTTCTCTAGTCAAACACTGGGGGATAACTGTAGATAAATACAATATTCCTTTTGTATGCCTTCACTCTATATATAGTAGTTCACAACCCTTGTGGGTTTAGTGCTTCTTCTTTATTATGATTATAATAATAATTTGTAATAATAATTTGCAATAATAATTTGTAATAATAATAATAATAATCAAGGTAGTAGGTTGGTAGACAGCAACCGCCCAGGGAGGTACTACCGTCCTGCCAAGTGAGTGTAAAACGAAAGCCTGTAATTGTTTTACATGATGGTAGGATTGCTGGTGTCCTTTTTTCTGTCTCATGAACATGCAAGATTTCAGGTACGTCTTGCTACTTCTACTTACACTTAGGTCACACTACACATACATGTACAAGCACATATATACACACCCCTCTGGGTTTTCTTCTATTTTCTTTCTAGTTCTTATTCTTGTTTATTTCCTCTTATCTCCATGGGGAAGTGGAACAGAATTCTTCCTCCGTAAGCCATGCGTGTTGTAAGAGGCAACTAAAATGCCGGGAGCAAGGGGCTAGTAACCTCTTCTCCTGTATATATTACTAAATGTAAAAGGAGAAACTTTCGTTTTTCCTTTTGGGCCACCCCGCCTCGGTGGGATACGGCCGGTGTGTTGAAAGAAAGAAGAATAATAATAATTTGTCAGAGCATCATTCCTTCTAAAAATTACATGAGAATGGAAGTGTTGGTCTTTATTTATTCTACTGTACTACTGTGGAGACAAGTTGTACAGAATGTAAGGGGTTTGTATGAATGTTTATGAACCATAACCAGATGCATCGTCTGTTTGTTTACATAGAGGGTGGGGTGGCCAGGCTAGTTTCTCTACACTACCCTACGACTTTCAACAAATAAATACTTTTCACCTTTCACAAATATTTTAAAGTAGTAATGAGTGTACTGTATATGCATTTTATCACTCTATGGAGCTTTAAGCATCATCATAGTATATTATATGTGGGTGGGGTGGCCAGGAGGGCTACCACATCTAACTTATTGTAGTAAATGCTACTCACCTTTTGCCCTACATTAAGAGTACAAATATTTTGAGGTAAATAATGAGTGTACTATGTGTGTATTTTACTTTTTATTATTTTTAATGCCTAGTTCTATTGCTAACTTAATATATGTTAGTGTAAACTTGTTATCTGGCATTTACAGCATTTACATGTAGTATATGCATTTATAAGTGGAAAAAAATGGTGTTCTGCTTTCCGGTGATGTCTGCTTTCTGGCAGTAGCCTGGAACCTAACCTGCCATATAAGTGGGGCCCTACTGTATAGTGATGACAATGCTCTTGTATGGGTGAAAGTTGGAGGCAAATGAAATGACATGACTGAGAACACTGTGTAATGCGAATATTATGCAAAAAATAAGGAATGAAGATGGTAGATGATGTGGTGGTATGAAAGGTATTAATTCAAAGAGTAATAAAGGGATTATAGAGATTAGTTTTTCATTAATGAAGGATGGAACACAGTTTTTAATCAAGAGAGTGTACAAACTAGCTGGATGAAAAAATGTGAAGAGGACATCTGAGAAATTGTTGGAAGGTTTGAGAAATACGTAGAAATATGAGTATCCAGCTGGCATGTTTAAGCACATTAAAATGGAGTGATACAAAAAACAGTGCTGTTTTTTGTATCTGATGAGTTGTTTGAGTGTGAGCAAGATGATATATATGAAAGGAATCAGGAAAACCAGTTAGCCAGATTTAAAGTTTTGTTGACGAGAATACGGTGCCACAGCTTAGAAAGTCTTTGAAATTTCCAGAAGAAAGTTTGGGTGCAAGTAATGGTCAATGTGTTTTCTTCTTTGGGCTGCCCTGCCTTGCTGGAAAATGGTTGATACATTTAAAAATGGGATAAAAGAGGAGGTAGCGAGTGCTGTAACCACTGGAGACTGTGATGGATATATGGGCCAGAGGGCCACCAACAGCAACAGCCTGGTTGACCAGATAACACTAGACAAGCCTGGCCCAAGCTGCAGAAGCAGGGAAAACTCTTGAAACCAGTCAAAGGCATACACTCTTAAGATGGGACAGGATGAGTATAACTCTGAACCTGTAACTGCAAGCAGTTCATCACTTAACACTGAATACACAATATTAACTCATGTCAAACTAGATGTGAAAAATGTAGGTAGCTGGTGGTTGCAAATGTTAAAGGTTCTATTTCTGCTCTTAATGAATCTCATGCAATCGATATGCCTTAAATCTAACAGACTATCTACTGATGGTTCTTAAAAACTGGGTAACTCTGATTTCTTTTTGGTGCTAATGTAAGTCTCTACTAAAGCTCCCAAAGCTTGCTAATGCAACAAACTTTTCTGGCACTTCATTCATATCAAGTATTCCTCTAAATTCTAAAAATACTTCTATCTAAATTCATCCCATTTGCTATGTTTGTGATGAGATGCTTATTATAAACAGCTATGAGCTTCCTTCTTATCAACTTTCTCATCTCATCAATGCTAGTAACTCCATGCAGTGATATTATGTAGCATGCAAGGCCACTAAAGTCTTGGGATGAAAGAAACTGTGTAATGAATGAAAAAATATGAAGCAAAAATGGAGTGATTGGAAAAGCATCAGACCATCTCTAGAACTGCCTGCCTAGCACCCTATGGCATTCATTCCTTACAGGGTATACACTCAGCTAAGGAAATGGTGTGCTCAGTATTAGTTTGTGCTTACCACAAATTTGAGGTAACCTATAGTGCAATCACTTTTATATAAAGCTACCAAGATTACTCACTGGCTTGTGACACCATAGAATGTCCCAGACTCATCTTGGATGTTAACATTTAGGTCAGCCCAGAATTTAACAAGGAAGAATGCATTTTGAGGTCCCTTGTCATAAAGTTCCTTTAGGCCACCTTTCTTTTCGGGAAACTTGTCGTAGATTTGTCGAATGTCAACCGCCTGAAACAAACATTAACTTCAGTGACTTGCATAATACCATATTCTTTCTCTAGCAAAATAATAATGAAAAATATTCCAAGAAACTTACCTGTCAACATATACTGTATAGTGTAGGTGTATAATTAAATAATTTTTAAGAGTACTGTAACATTAACAAAATCAAGGGAAGTTTTTAATACTTGATAGATGGCAGTGTGTGTCTCAGACAACAGAGATACAGGCAAAGGTTTAAAAAGGAGAGGTTGGTGCTAGCTATTTTACTTGCTTATGTAGAGAAAACTGTGTACTACACATCAGCCAGGCAAATGATGGTGTCTTTCTATATGCTTGTGCAGTCTTGTTTAAAAATACTGTTTTGCCCTCATCTTTCAACATGGGCAAGATGCCCAAGTTGGAAAATATGCAGAGATTATTTACTACTAGTATAAATTCATTAAAAAATTAAAACCAAAAATACATCCTCACTGCTCCATGATCCAAGACTTCAACCTTCTACCAGCCGATATAAGTAAAATTTCTAAAATAAAGATAAAAGTTTTCAAGAGGAATCTGGATAATTTTCTATAGGATGTGCCTGATCAGTCAGGCTATGATGGCTGTGTATTTACAAGCTGCAGGTTTATAGCTGTGTGGCAAGGGATAACCTGGGTCACAGCTTGCTCATTGCCCTACATGTCAATGTTTTTTGTTTAGCAGACACATATCAGACACATATAGCTTGCAAGACACTTCGAGAATAAATAAATTAATATTGTTTCATTAATCTGTCATAGTATACTGGATTTAGCACTTAATTTTGATTGTAATAATTGATTGTTATAGTATACACAAGGCTGAAGAGTAGTAATGGTGTAATGTTCTACAATGAATATAAATGTAGTGGAACTAAACCTGAGTTGGTGAAACTAAAAAATTATTACTCTTACTATCTGCACACTGGAAGCGAGTCAGAGTCAAGTTGAAATAAGGAAAAAAGTGTTCAAATACGTGAAATTAACTGAATTATTTAAGGATAGTGATAGAGTAACAATATTACACCAGATACTATACATATACTGTATACTATCTTATGTTTGTGTTCAATGGTAATGACAGAGTATAATGTATAGTAATGCCAACACACTTATATGGGTGTGAAGCATGAGTTTTAAATGTTGCAGCAAGGAGAAGGCTGGAGATGCCATATCTGAGGGCAATATGTAGTATGAATATTATGCACAGAATTTATAGTTTGGAGATTAGAAGGAGATACAGGGTTACTAAAAATATCCAGAGGGCTGAGGAGAGGTTATTGAGGAGGTTTGGATATTTAGAGAGGATGAGGAAAATACAATGACTTGGAGAGTGTACAAATCTGTTGAGGAGGGAAGGAGAATTAGAAGTCATCCTTGGAATGACTGGAGGGAGAGGGTAAAGGAGGTTTTGTATATAAGGTACCTGGACATCCAACAGGCATGTATGAGCATATTAGAGAGGAGTGGAGGCAAGTATTTTTTATGACTTGATATGTTGTTGGAGTATGAACATGGTAATATTTATGAAGGGATTCAGAAAAAACCAGTTAGCTGGACCTGAGTCCTGAAGGTGGGAAGTACAATGTCTGCACTCTGGTGGGGTAGGGATATAGCAGTTTTGAGGAGCATCTGACCTGTCAGCATACCTCCAGCAAGACAGTGATAGAGTGAGTGATAATGAGTGTGTTTCTTCTTTTTTGGGGTCACCCTACCTTGATGGGAGACAGCTGGTGTGATTAAAAAATAAACAGATAAAAGTAGAGTTGATGCAAGGTTGACACATGTAAAAAATATAAAAAAACAAGCAAAAAAAAAATCCAATGTATGTGGTTTTGCAAATTAGCTTTCTTCTATAAAAATGCACCCCATCACAGCACATATACAGATACAAACCTCTATCAGTGGCATGTATTCATAAGAAGCAAAGCAAATACTGCTTACCCTATAAAAAATTCTTCCCTTCAAAATTAAAATATGTTTGTTTAGTAATATATAATTTAATTTTACACAGCATTCTACATTTTTGTTACTGATGCATTAGTGAACTTTAAAATGACGCTTGTTAGAAAGAAGCATTCATCGCTTGAAAATCTGTCCCTGGAATAAGCAACATTAGATGTGCAGCATCAACTTCAACCTCTTGCAAGGTAAAATGGTATGCCACTGCAAGACATACAATAAAAATATGACATACCTAAATAATTTTACCCCATTTTTCCAAAATCTATGTAAATAGGATTCTGATTAAAACAGGATGCTGTTAATGGTATTCAAATGCTGGAATTTTCCCTCAAAAATATTCATCACTGAGAAATCCTTTCACTAAAGATTTGAACAGCAAAAGCATAGCATACTCCCCCTTATTCCTCTCTTGCTACTATCCCTCCTGATCATTGCCAACAGCGCCTCAGAAATGTGGCTTGATACTATCTTAATAACAGATTAAAAAATCTGGATTTATGAAGATTCATTGTGCTTTTACATTTACCTTCATTCTGTGGGTTTAAGAAAAGTTTAAAGAGCTTGTTTTTTGGTGATTAAAAGAACAGCATACATCAACATGCAATGATAATGACACTTATGTTTGAAAGGAAACCTTATGTTTGGTTCCAAGTTGTGCATCACATATTTTTTGTTACTGAAATTACAGCATAGAGCTGTTGACCTATGTGAAACCCTCAAACTATTACAGAAATTTTGAACTTTATAAAAGTGAATAACTTAGAAAAGGTTTTCAGTGTAGTAGCTAGCCTTTGTGAATTTATTTTAATGGTTCCAGTAATTACTGCATGTGAAAAGCACAAGCTCTTTGCTTTAAAGAGAATTAAAACTTCATCAAGAAATTCTCAAGGTCAGGAAAGACTGAAAAACTTTGCCCCTCTATCAATTTAGAAAATTATTGCAAAAATCTTCAGAGTAAACCAAAATTTTACAGCAAAGGAAATGGTCATTTTTCCTGTAATTCAAGAATGATTTCATTGAATTATTTTTACCGTGGTAAGTGAAATATTTTATGTTACAACTACCAATTTTATTTGTTAAATGAATCAATAAAACTAATATTTTTAAATATTCATACTTTATTTTTACCAAAAAGTTTACCAGAGTCAACTGCTTATCCTAATTTTTCTTTTTTAAGACATACCAGTACCTATTACAATGGGAATGGAATAAATCAAAAAATTTTCCTCACTTATCTTTTCAGTTGAAGTTGCCAGGAAAAACAATGTACCCAATGTATAAACAATAATAGAAGTAATAATAGAACAGTGTGATAAATTTTGCTGGAAGATCTTATCACTTTCCCTTTTATGAAAGAAGAAAAGTGATGAGGGTTCTATCTAGCATTTAACAAAGTTTTTGCTTTCATGTTACTGACAATTTTCTTGTGAATGGTCAATAAATTACATAAACACGCATATTAACTCACCTCTAATATAGGATCTGCATACGTTGTTGGCCCACCTATGTGTACGAATAGATGCTTCTGATACTGGAAAAGAAGATTTCATTGGTCGAATACAAAACTATTCTGTAGTGATTAATTTGTTTTAAAATTTAAAATGGCTGAATTAATCAACAAAGCCGGTTCATTGTAAGATGACTCAATACCACATTATTTGTAAGTGTATATACAAACTAAATGAAAAGTAATTACAGTATGACCCCATACCTGCGGGTCATACGTTCCAAGGACTTGCCATGGATACTGAGACCGCAGATAGTAGTAAACCCTATATATAAGTCCTGTACAAACCTATTACAAAGTTTAGTTGATAAATTATGCTGGGAAGCACTTCACGGCTTCTCTTAGGCTTTGAAGAACTGCCAGCTTTTCTTACTTTTGTGCTTTGGGGCCAGTATCATGCAAAATTAAAAGGTATTTTTGGGCCATAGTAAACCGTGGATAACTGAAACTCTGGATACAGAATCAGTGGATATGGGGGTTCTACTGTACTGTAAAAAAAAAAAAATCCACATGGTGATAAATGAAAATAGGTCTTTATTAATTATTTAGCTATGGTATTCATGAAAGATTAAATTGAGGTAAGATGTAATGCTCTGTTATTCCAGAATAATAAATATGAATGTAGTATTCCAAAGCATGGTACTCAGCAGAAAAAGGTGAAATTGTTTTACAATGAACCAAACATAATGTGGTATGAACGTACAAAGATTTATAATTTGCATACTCTTGTGGTCAGACCCTGGGCCAGGTCTCCTTTGTGATTACCTGGCCGACTAGGCTGTTGCTGTTAGTGGCCTGCCATCCCACATATATATCACAGCCTGGCTGATCTAGCACACCAAGGAGGTAGTGATCTAGTTTCCTCTTGAAGACCTCTATACTGGTTCCAGCAATATTTCCAATACCTGCTGGCAGTAAGTTGAAAGGTTGGGGACCACAGATATTGATAGTGTTCTTTTATGGTACCCATGGCTCTCTTGCTTTTCAGTAGTTATATTTTACACTTCCTCCCATATCTCTCACTCCAATGTGTTATGGTAGTGTGCAGATTTGGGACTAGGCCTCCCAGTATCTTACAAGTGTACATTATTGCATATCAAGCTCTCTCTCTCTTTCGCCTTCTTTCCAGAGATTACATTTCCAGTTCTTTGAGCTGTTCCCAGTAGTTTAAATGTTTTATTATATGCTCTCTTTATTGTAACACACACTTATGTTTTCCAGCTCTGAGCAGTGCTGTTAACACTGAGCAGCATTCCAAGTGAGAAAGCACAAGTGATTCACATAGTGCTGCCATTAGCATTACAGTCTCTCCTCACTTAATGACAGAGTTCCATTCCAAAGATCACATCGGTAAATGAATTCATTGCTAAGTAAGGAGCATACTATAATGGTAGTGGGTTTGGTCAACCACATTTGATATTATTTTAACATTACCTTTGCACCATTTATAACATTTCTGGTATATTTTTAAATGTTTATACAGTAGTGTACTGTATACAGCCTCTCCTCACTTAACGACGGAGTTCTGTTCCTAAGATCACGTCGTTAAACGAATTTAATGCTAAGTGAGGAGCATACTATAATGGTAGTGGGTTTGTGTCAACCATCTTTGATATTGTTTTACTGTCACCTTTACACCATTTATAACATTTCTGGTATATTTTTAAATGTTTATACAGTAGTGTACTGTATACTGCAATAAACGGAATAGAGGAAATCAGCTTTAATATACAGGTCTCCCTCCACATTCGCGACGGTTAGGGGATCAAGAACCTCGCGAATGTTAAAAAATCGCAAATGTTTGGTGTACAAATATTTTTTTTCTTTTAACAAGTCGGCCGTCTTCCACCGAAGCAGGGTGACCCAAAAATAAAGAAAATCCCCAAAAAGAAAATACTTTCATCATTCAACACTTTCACCTCACTCACACATAATCACTGTTTTTGCAGAGGTGCTCAGAATACAACAGTTTAGACGCATATACGTATAAAGATACACAACATACCCCTCCAAACTGCCAATATCCCAAATCACTCCTTTAAAGTGCAGGCATTATACTTCCCATTTCCAGGACTCAAGTCCGGCTATATAAAAATAACCAGTTTCCCTGATTCCCTTCATTAAATATTACCCTGCTCACACTCCAACAGCTCATCAGGTCCCACATACCATTCGTCTTCATTCACTCCTATCTAACACGCTCATGCACGCTTGCTGGAAGTCCAAGCCCCTCTCCCACAAAACCTCCTTTACCCTCTCCCTCCAACCTTTTTGAGGACAATCCCTACCCCGTCTTCCTTCCCCTACAGATTTATACGCTTTCCATGTCATTCTACTTTGATCCACTCTAAATGAACCAAACTACCTCAAACAACCCCTCTTCAGCCCTCTGACTAATACTTTTATTAACTCCACACCTCCTAATTTCCACACTCTGAATTTTCTGCATAATATTTACACCACACACAGCCCTTAGACAGGACAGCTCCACTGCCTCCAACCGTCTCCTTGCTGCAGCATTTACAGTCCAAGATTCACACCCATATAAGAGTGTTGGTACCACTTTACTTTCATACATTCCCTTCTATTGCCTCCATAAGTAACGTTTTTTGTCTCCACATATACCTCAACGCACCACTCACCTTTTTTCCTTCATCAATTCTATGATTAACCTCATCCTTCATAAATCCATCCGCTGACACGTCAACTCCCAAATATCTGAAAACATTCACTTCTTCCATACTCCTCTCCAATTTGATATCCAATTTTTCTTTATCTAAATCATTTGATACCCTCATCACCTTACTCTTTTCTATGTTCACTTTCAACTTTCTACCTTTACACACACTCCCAAACTCATCCACTAACCTTTGCAATTTTTCTTTAGAATCTCCCATAAGCACAGTATCATCAGCAAAAAGTAACTGTGTCAATTCCCATTTTGTATTTGATTCCTCATAATTTAACCCCACCCCTCTCCCGAACACCCTAGCATTTACTTCTTTTACAACCTTATCTATAAATATACAGTGGTCCCTCGATTATCGACGGTAATCCGTTCCTGGAAGCCGGTCGATTATCGAAATGGTCGATTTACGAATCAATTTTCCCCATAAGAAATAATGTAAATTCAATTAATCCGTTCCTGACACCCAGAAGTATTAAAACAAAAAATTTTTTTACATGAAATATTCATGTAGTACATAAACAATACAATGGGAAATGATGAATGAAACATTAACAGCATAACACTTACCCCACATAGTAAAAATCTCCTTAATTTCTGAAGAAGGCACCTTCTTCCATCTCTCTTCCTCCTCCTCTGCAGCAAGATTCTGAGCTGCGATCTGTTGCTCTTCCTGCTGAAGCTCTTGCAGCTCCTCAGTGGTTAGCTCTTCGTTGTGGTCCTCCACCAACTCTTCCACATCCTCCAAACTCACATCCAACCCCATGGAACTCCCCAGTGCCACAATAGAGTTCAAAACTGACATAGGCTCATCAGGGTCAGCCCCAAACCCTTCCAAATCCCTCTTGTCGACACAATCTGGCCACAATTTTCTCCAAGCAGAGTTCAAAGTCCTGGTAGACACTCCCTCCCAAGCCTTACCTATAAGACTTACACAATGGAAAATACTGAAATGTTCTTTCCAAAAATCTCGTAGGGTCAAGTGAGTGTCTGAGGTCACATTGAAGCACCTTTCAAACATTGCTTTGGTGTACAGTTTTTTAAAGTTTGCAATGACCTGCTGGTCCATGGGTTGGAGGAGAGGAGTGGTATTCGGGGGCAAGAACTTTACTGAGATGAACCCAAACTCCTTCAGAATTAGGTCATCCAAGTTTGGTGGATGAGCAGGTGCATTGTCCATTACTAGCAGGCACTTGAGATCCAATTTCTTCTCCAGGAGGTAATTCTTCACACTAGGGCCAAACACTTCGTTGAACCACTCTACAAAAATTTCCCTCGTGACCCATGCCTTATTATTAGATTTCCAAAACACACACAATTTACTCTTCATAACATTATTTTTCTTAAATGCTTTGGGATTTTCAGAATGGTACACTAGTAACGGCTTCACTTTGAAATCCCCACTAGCATTAGCACAGAACATTAGCGTCAGCCTGTCTTTCATAGGCTTGTGTCCTGGCATTGACTTTTCCTCTTGTGTAATGAAGGTCCTCTTTGGCATTTTCTTCCAGAAGAGGCCTGTTTCGTCACAATTGAACACTTGTTCAGGTTTCAGTCCTTCAGCCTCTATGTACTCCTGGAATTCATGCACATATTTTTCAGCCGCCTTGTGGTCCGAACTGGCAGCCTCACCATGCCTTACCACACTGTGTATGCCAGTACGCTTCTTAAATCTCTCAAACCAGCCTTTGCTGGCCTTAAAATCACTCACTTCACCACTATTTGCAGGCAATTTATTTACCAAATCTTCATGCAACTGCCTAGCCTTTTCACAAATAATCGAGGTCATAAGACTGTCTCCTGCTAATTGTTTCTCATTTATCCACACCAATAATAACTTCTCAACCTCTTCCAGTACTGGTGATCTCATTTTTGTCAGCATATTTACCCCTTTGCAACAACAGCATCCTTGATTTCCTTTCTCATGGCTATGATGGAAGATATGGTTGAATGATTTTTGTTATACATCCTCGCCAGTTCGCCCACACGTACGCCACTATCATATTGTTCAATGATGTTTTTCTTAAATTCAATGGTATTTCTCACCTTCTTTACCAAAGGTTTGGCACTAGGAGCTTTCTTTGGAGCCATGGTAGCTTATTTAGCACTTAAATAACTTGCAAGCACTAAAATAAATGAAATATTATGAAATATTTCACTGGAGCACGTGAGAGGACCGCCGCTAACTGGTAAACAATGGCACACTGGCTGGGAAGGAAGGCTGAGGCGGGTCGAGGCCCGCTTACCATGTGCATACGCGTCTGGGACGACGGGTCGAGACGGGTCGATAAACGAATTTCGGTCAATTTCCGAGTCAATATTTTGTCGAAAAAACCGG